TTAACTCGGGCTGGGTGGTAATCACAGGAGTCGATTCGCACTACAGGGCTCGTAAAGGAGACAATCCAGAAGCATCGGGGGCGTTCGGCTGTTGCATCGAGAGGTCTGAAATTTCTTGGGCTGGAAAACTATTCGTTCTGTGCAGTTTTTGTTCCACATTATATCTTGTCAGGAAGCTCTACGAGTCCCCCGGCGGTAAGAAAGGTTGACGGTTTACCGCCGGCGCCCAGTTGGCAAGAAAAATCTCGACAGACCTTTTGGTGACTTTTGGTCGGTTGAAAATACCTCGTAGAGCTCTCATGGTAAGAGAGCTAGAGGAATTCGGCGACAGGGTGGAGCTAGTTGACCAAATGTCGAAGAGGGACGCGATCATACCATCCGCCTGGCTCAGCCGGTTTTGCAGCTCTAACAATTCGCGCAGAGCGAAGCTTTACATCACAGAAAATGTCTCTCGAATTCTTAGCTCATTCCGTCGACAAATTCTTCTGAGCGAAGCCAAAAACCAGACCTCAGATTAACGTGCAAAATTGAAAGTTGAAGATTTGAAGAAAATTCACTGCGAAGTTCTCTGCTTCGATTCTGGGTATTCTCACACGTGGAAAGAGCTCTACGAGGTTCCGGGCGGTGACCAGGTTGACGGTTCACCGCCGGCGCCAGTTTTGTTCTCGAAATTTAACCATTCGTTAGAGCTCTAGTATTTTTTCCCGTGATATTCGATCTTATTCCCGCTCGCCATCTTGATCTCAGCTCGATCGGGTAGCTTTTACTGCCAAAAAGCACTGCGGCGGGATCGGCCGTTTCGAGTCATCTTGATACGCGCTGTCGGTATATTGAACTTTACTCGAGATATAGGACAGCTACAGAGCTGGTAAGCACACCTCATCGATTCAGAATGATCAGGTGCGTTCGTCTGTTGAGTCCAGAGGTCTGAACTCGGTCTGCTAGCCGAGCTAGGTCCGCAAACCTGTTTGTATTATTCGAGTCATCTTGACAGGCGCTCTCTGTTTTCTGTACTTAACTCGAGCTATAGGGCAGCTACAGAGCTGATACTTACAGAAATCAATTCAGAATCATCAGTCGCGTTTGTCTGTTGAATCCAGAGCTCTGAACTCGGTCTGCTGCCCGATCCAGAATCGCGAAACTGTTTGTATTGTTCGAGTCATCTCGAGAGGTGCGGTCGGTTTTCTGCACTTAACTCGGGCTATAGGGGGGCTACAGTGCTGGTGGTCACAAGAATCGATTTGAAGACATCAGCCGCGTCCGCCTGTGGAATCCAGAGCTCGGAACTCGGTCTGCTGCCTGAGGTCGGTCCGCGAAACTGTTCGTATTGTTCGTGTCATCCTGAAAGATGCTGTCGGCTTTCTGCACTTAACTCGGGCTGTAGGGGGGCTGCAGGGCTGGTAGTCACAGGAATCGATTCGGAGACATGAGACGCGTCCGCCTGTCGCATTTAGAGCTCTGAACTCGGTCTGATACTCGAGCTGGGTTTGCCTAACTATTCGTTTTGTTCGAGTCATTTTCAGAGGTGCTGTCGATTAACGCACGTAACTCGGGCTGTAGGAGAGCTACAGAGCTCGTGCAGAAGACACTCCAGAAGCATCGGGGGGCGTTCGGCTGTTGCATCGAGAGGTCTGAAATCGCTTGGGCTGAAAAACTATTCGTTCTCTGCAATTTTTTCGACATTATATATTGTCAGGAAGCTCTACGAGTCCCCCGGCGGTGAGAAAGCTTGACGGTTTACCGCTGGCGTCCAGACGGTCGACCCGGCCAGAAAGGACAAAGTGGTAACTTTTGGGTGGTTTTGCAAAAAATTGAAAGATATTTGACAATTCATTTTAAGAAAGCAGATTTTTCGCACCTGTAAACGATTATGAGGGCCTCTCCGTCTTAATATGAGCTCTGTAGGCGCACATTTACTATCAAAACACTTGGAGGAATCATGTTTATGTCGACATGAAAAAAATCAGTTTTGCCTTTTTCGAAAAATACCTCCAGAAGCTCTCTCCTTGAACTCCGAGCATTCTCACGCGTGAAAGGAGCTCTACGAGGTTCCCGGCGGTGACCAGGTTGACGGTTCACCGCCGGTGCCAGTTGCTGGAAGCTTAAGAGTAATTCCGGGGCGCTGGAGAGCTAGTTGGCAAGAAAAATCTCGACGGACCTTTTGGTGACTTTTGGTCGGTTGAAAATTTTGTTCTCGGAATTCAACAATTCGTTTGAGCTCTAGTATTTTTTCCCATGATATTCGATCTTATTCCCGCTCGCCATCTTGATCTCACCTCGATCGGGTATCTTTTACTGCCAAAAAGCACACGAGCGGGATCGGCCGTTTCAAGTCATCTCGACACGAGATAACGGTTTTCTGTAGATAACTCGAGGTTTAGGACAGCTACAGAGCTGGTGAGCACAGCTAATCGATTCAGAATGATGAGGCGCGTTCGTCTGTTGAATCCAGAGGTCTGAACTCGGTCTGCTAGCCGAGCTAGGTCCGCAAACCTGTTCGTATTATTCGAGTTATCTTGACAGACGCTCTCGATTTTCCGACTTCACTCGAGCTACAGGGCAGCTACAGAGCTGATTGGACAGAAACCGATTCATAATCATCAGGGTAGTTGTCTGTTGAATCCGGAGCTCTGAACTCTGTCTGCTGCCCGATCTAGAATCGCGAAACCATTCGTATTGTTCGAGTCATCTTGAGAAGTGCTCTCGGTCTTCTGCACCCAACTCGGGCTGAGGGGGGCTACAGTGCTGGTGGTCACAAGAATCGATTTGAAGACATCAGGCGCGTCCGTCTGTCGAATCCAGAGCTCGGAACTCGGTCTGCTGCCCGAACTAGAATCGCGAAACTATTGTATGTCATCCTGAGAGGTGCTGTCGGTTCTTTGTACTTAACTGGGGCTGTAGGGGGGATACAGTGCTGGTAGTCACAGGAATCGATTCACCGACATCAGATGCGTCCGCCTGTCGCATTCAGAGGTCTGAACTCGGTTTGATACTCGAGCTGGGTTTCCAACCTATTCGTTTTGTAGAGTGATCTTGAGTGGTGCTGTCGATTTACGCACGTAACTCGAGGAGAGCTACAGAGCTCGTAAACAGGACAATCCAAAAGTATTGGGGGTGTTCGGCTGTTGGATCGAGAGGTCTGAAATCGCCTGGGCAAAAAAACGATTCGTTCTCTACATTTTTTCCACATTATATATTGTCAGGAAGCTCTACGAGTCCCCCGGCGGTAAGGAAGGTTGACGGTTTACCGCCGGCGCCCAGTTGGCCCACCCGGCCGGGGCGGACAAATTGGTGACTTTTGGTCGGTTTTGCGAAAATTTGAAAGATATTTAACAATTCATTTTGAGAAAGCAGATTTTTGCGCGTCACATTGACATATAAACTCTTCTCTGACAGCAGCCCAGCTCTCCCCGATGTATTTTCTTATGAATTGACTTCCGGGAACTGAGCGAATATGAACATCGAAAATCGAAAATCAAGATTTTCGAAAAATCTGTATTTCATGCCTCTACTTCGATTCTCAGCACTCTTATTAGTGTACGGAACTCTACGAGGTTCCCGGCGGTGACTAGGTTGACGGTTCACCGGCGGTGCCAGTGCTGGAACCGGCGGTAAACCGTCAACCAGGTTACCGCCGGGGTCCTCGTAGAGCTCTTTTCTCGCACGGCGCTCCTCGGTGCATATGCAGGAAAACTCTGGAGCAAGACCCAAAAACTCGAAAAATCACGTTTTATGTTTGCATCAAAAGACGGTAGCACTCGTCAAAATCACTGGAAGAATGCAAATAGGTTTGCGGACCTAGCTCGAGCACCAGACCGAGCTCAGAGCTCTAGATGGACAGACAAACGCGCCTCATAATTTCCAATCGGTTCCTGTCAGCTCTGTAGCTGTCCTAAATCTCGAGATAAGTATAGAAAACCGTCGATGCGTGTCAAGATGACTCGAAGCGGCCGTCGGTTCCAGCAAGTGTTTTGATAGTAATATTGCAGCTACGGACCTCAGAATTTAACTGGCATCCGCGGCATAACCCATTACACGTGAGAAAAAAAACGAGTTTACATTTTTTTCGCAAAGATTGCAAAACTGACCCAAAGTTAACACATTGTCTCTGCCGGGTCTAGTTGGCTCCACCCTGCGCCCGAATTCCTCTTAGCTCATCTTGCGAAGAGCCCTACGAGGTACCTCGTAGAGCTCTTCGGCATCGATGAGCTGGAGGAATATCTCGTAGAGCTCTTCGTCATCGATGAGCTAGAGGAATTCCGGCGCGGGCTGGAGCTAGGCTTCGTAGAGCTATTCGGCATCGATGAGCCAGAGGAATTCCGGCGCGGGATGGAGCTAGTTGGCCGACCCGACCAAAAGAGAGAATGTGATATCCTTGGGTCGGTTTTGCTTTGATTTGAAAGATAGTTGACAATTCATTTTGAGAGCCGGCATTTTTCTCACGTGTAGTGGGTTATGCCGCGTCTGCCAGTTAAATTCTCAGGTCCGTAGCTGCAATATTACTATCAAAAGACTTGCTGGAACCAACTGCGTTCCGAGTCATCTTCACACGCGTGCGCGGTTTTCTGTGCTTAACTCGAGATTTCGAGAGCTACAGAGCTGATAATTACAGAAACCGATTCAGAATGATCAGGCGCGTTCGCCTGTTGCATCCAGAGGCCCGAACTTGGTCTGCTACTCGAGCTAGGTCCGTAAAATTATTTGTGTTATTCCAGTGATCTTCACCAGTGATACCGGTTTTCTGTACTCATCTCAAGACTCAGAGCAGCTACAGAGCTGGTACGCACATAAACTGATTCAGTATCACCAGGCGCTTGCGTCTGTTGCATCGAGAGGCCTGGCAGCGAAACTCCCTTCTGTGAGCAGCTCAGCTCTCAGGAGAGGGTTTTAATGTCCAAACATTTGGAGGAACCAACATCATGTCGTGTTTTTCTAGGAATGCTCCGAGAAGCTGTCTTCTTTGCATCTGAGCACTCTTACGCGTGCAAGGGCTCTACGAGGTTCCCGGCGGTGACCAGGTTGAGCAGAGCTTACCTCCTGCTTGGCTTGGTCTCACCGCTGGGGTCCCCCCTCGTCTCGAGCTGCATTGTGCAGTAAGGTGTTACTCTGTTCCACTTACTGTACACGGTGCTTCAGAGTCTTTTTGCCTGAGTACCGTACATCTTTGCACACGTGTCGGCATACTATTCATTTCTGCTGCGGTATTCTGCATGATCGAGTGCTCTCCATCGTGCACACACTGTCTGTTCTGTGCTGTCTCATTGCGTCTATTCATTCAGTGCTTCATTCAGTGTTTCATTCAGTGAGCTCACTATTCTGCATTCAGTGTTGCATTCAGTGCTTCATTCAGTGCTTCATTCAGTGTTGCATTCAGTGCTTCATTCAGTGTTGCATTTACTGCTCTCTATCTGCACAATGGCCGACGCTCGGATGTCTGATGCCGACGTCAATGATCGGAAACGGAGGCGTGATTTGGAAATGGCAGAGGAGAGAGCCAACGAGTTGCAGCAACGTCAGGTGATCCTCAGTCAATCTAGTGATTCTGGTTTCAAGGCTTTCCTGGAATGGACATTCGACAAAGATGATCGATCAAAACGTGAGAGTGAGGAGAGCCGTCAATTACTTCAGACCCTTCATGAGAAGACGGATAAAGCGGAGAAGGCAGTTGTTGATCTTCAAAAGCAACAGCATGCTGATTCTGCGCGTATCACGGCTCTTGAGCAGCAGATGAAAAACGGTCCTCCTTCCCTCGGGGGTGCTTCGACTCGCTCGGGTGCCCCATTGGACTTTGCGCCATCTTTCGTAGAAGCTTACGGATGGGTGGAGGACTGGACTTCGGCAGAAACGCGTAATCGTACTTCTATCTCTGACAGGAATGCATATCAGTTGGTCACAAACTTGTTAGCTGTGCTGGAAACGAAAGATCCTCTTCTTCGTGCCAAGGTCGACCCCAGGGGCTCATGTCGTCTGCAGGGAAATCGTGCTTCATACGCGAGTGTTCGGATCAAATTCAATGCGGGCACAGAAAACGATGACCTTTGGAGCGCTAAGAAGATCTGGGAAAATGCATGGAACGATGCTGCTCGGAAAAATCTTCTGCTGGACCAGATGGCGGGATATGGTGCCAATTTCCCCTCGCGAGTAAAGTTCAGGGTTGAGAGCGCACCGTGGAAGACACCACACCTGCAGGCCATCGGTCGGTTTCACGACATCTGGGCCAGAGATTCGTGCCTTCGCAACATCAAACTCAAAGGAACGGCTGGCAGCGGGGCTACACCTTCTGAGATGTGGACCGACCCAGCGGAAGATGGACATCGAAAGCAGTTGGGTGAGTTCGCAGCCGGTGGCCAGTACGGTGGTTCGGGCCAGTGGCGTATCATCAAAGAGAACTGGGATGCCTTTGCGTTGTTGCACCGTTTGGCCAGCACGTCAGAAACGATGGAGCAGAGGCTTGCCACCGTCAACCGTCGTTGACAAACGTCGCGGGGCTCGGGTGCGATCTCCGTCGCCTGTGCCTCGCAGAACATCCAGAAGGCGGGTCAGGCCGCTAATCATCAGTATAACGTTCTGCGTCTTCTATCTCACGATGTCCATTGGGATCTGCTGGGCTTGCAGGAATGTGAGAATGTCGACTTTAATTCCGACTGGTTTGCTAAGTTGGGGGTTAGTGCACAGCTATCTTCCTGTCGCAAGGCAGGCATATTGTACCGTGGGGGAACGGCAATACGTGAGCAGGCTAGTGGGGACAGATGGGTGGCTGTCCTTTTCAATCGGGTTATCTTCGTCTCACTCTACCTTCCCAACAGCTCTGTGGGGGAGGCTCTTAACATCACGGATGTTTGTCTTCGTTCTATTTCTCTTCTCAGGCGGTGCTGGGAAGGTTTGCATGGTTCTCTCAAGTTGGTTGTTGCTGCAGGTGCGAATGTGGAATTCAGACCACATCTCACGGACATCGAAGGCATTGCCTTGACGGGCCCAGGTCTGCTAGGCGCTGATGTTTGTCATGGGGATGGTGGGATGGAGAGGGAAAGGAGGAGAAGGTATTCGTTACTACGTATCCAGGTGGAGGGCTGGTTGATGGAGGAGAGCTTGATTGCCAGCAACACGTTCAGGGAGAGAGATATCACATGGTACGGATATCGGACGGGGGCACGAGAGGCGGGGAAGGTTTTGGACTATGTGCTAGTATCTCGTGGTGCCGTGTTTGCGCCCGCCTCGGTGTCCTGGCCTCGCGAGTTGGGCAGTACTCGCAGGTTTAGTGACCGCGCGTTGGTGCAAACGGAGTTGCAGCTTGATAGACCAGTCGTCGCGCCCAGATACGTTGCACGGGCTGTGCGGTGCCTATCCAGATGGATGCCGCTGACCTGGCACGACGGCTGCTCGTTTCAGACACGTCTCGACTCGTCGATCGACGAGAACCTCAGCCTCGGAGAAATTGAGAAACGTTGTCATCGTGAGGCGTCTGCTACTTCGACTGCCCCCTGCTCGTCTATGCTCCCTCCCCGTCGGCACCCTGAACTTATTCGATTGCAGGAGGAAGTGAAGAGGTGGGAGGGGGACAAGACGTCGGAGGAGTTCAAGAAGATCAGGAGGAGGAGGGACCAGGAGAAGAGGAAGTTCGACAGGAGATGGATGGCTTGGAGGTTCTCTGAAGGGCGGAGGAGGACACAGAATCACACGATCGAGAGCGTCCACGGGTCCGTGGATCGGGTTGATTGGCACGCCTCCCTCTTGGATCACACGCAGAGCTACACAGATGTGGACGAGCGTGAGCGTACCCATCTCTCTCTGGCATTGCTGCGTGCACGCGTGGCTGCTGGATCCCAGGATGTTCCCCGTCTGCCTGTCCCAGCGGTGTTTCGAGCTCGTTCTCGTTTTCATACGGCAAAGGCGTCAGGGCCATATGGGATCTCCGCGGAGGTGCTCAAAGAACTCCCGTATCGGACCGTTCGTATTTTTGCTGATCGTTTTGGTGAGATATTTCGTGGTCTGCGTGCCGTGCCTGGATCTTGGCGTCAGACCTTCATCACCCTGATGCCGAAAAAGTTGAAAGTGCTCACCCATCTCTCGGAGGCTACTAGGAGTATTGCCGTGGAGAGTGCTATCAAGAAGTGGTACTCGTCGTCGGTCCTTGTCGTCCTGGGGCCCTACTTTACCAAGGTGTTGCCCCATATCTCGCTCTTCGGGTTCGCGGCCGAGCGCTGCTGTGGGGAGATCTCGGGGGCCCTCAAATGTGCGGCCCAACATGAGGCAGTCTGGGGAAAGGATAGGTCTCTGCTGATCGCCAGTTTGGACGTTAAACAAGCCTTCCAGAATATGACGGTTCAGAAGATCACACTTGCGTTTGAAAGACTCGGTATCCCTCCGTATCTCCAGCTGGCTCTACTGGAACCCCTGGCGGATGAGGTCTCCACGGTGCTCTTCGAGGGTCTCGGGGTCCCTGAGGTCAAAGTTGACAAGCACGTTAGGACGGGAGGTAACGAGAGCCCAGCATGTTGGAACGCTGTTGTGGCAGCCATGTGGGCTGATATTGTTCAGGACTGGGACAGGGGAGGCCTAGGCTACGAGTGTATCAACCCCAACCAGACAACTGAGACCGCCGTGGTAAACCATCTCATCTTTGCTGACAATGTGTACATCAGTGGCTCAGGCCTGAATCCCAAGGCTTTTCAACAACAGTTGAATGACTTTACTCTTGTCTTGCATCAGTGGAAGTTTGATTGGAAGTTGGATAGCCTTCAGTTTGCTGCTATAGGTTGCTCCCCTGGGAAATTCTTTACCAGCATCCATCGCTCTAATATGCCTGGGGATATCGGCCTCGATGGGGCTGATGAGTACGTCAGTGTCGAGCTGCAGCAGGTTTCCGTCCTCAACGTCTTGGGGAATGACATCGCGGATTCTTTTCGCGAGCCGCATGTTGATGTTGACCGCCGTCTGAACGCTGCTCGCAAGGCATTCTTTGGGCATGTCCAATACTTTCGATCCCGTGCGGTGCATTGGCATTTGAAGTTCAAGCGATTTCAGTCCATCGTGCAATCTACCCTGCTCTTCGGCTCGGAAGGGCTGACGTGGGAAAAGGACTCGATTCACAAAACCCACGTCTTCGAGGGCACATGTTTGTTGAGGATGTGTCATAAATCGAAACCCGCCGGTGTATCCTGGGACATATGGCGCCCTGCTCGTTTGCATGTGGTTCGAAAGCTATTTCATGATCATGGGTTTCAGAGTTCGGTTCAACGTGTTTTGCATCGTTCATGGTTGCTGGCAAAAGATGTTGCGGAGTATCATGCGACTAACTGGGATGCTGCTTATGCGAATCGGGAAGATTGCAAACGTCGTCGGCTGGCTCTCCCCATTGCTCCTCCCAGTGGTGCCCGTGCCGGGGGGGGGGGCGCCAGGGGGATGCTGTTGTGTTCGTGTCCATCATGGGGGGGTGCTCGTTCAGACTTCAGTGAGGTCCTCAGACAGAAGGGATCGTGGAAGGAGGCTAGTGCTCTGAAACTTATTCGTGTCGGAGCTGGTGCATCAGGAGAAAGACCTTGGAGTTACATGGCATATATCCTATTTGGGGCCTCTTGGTGGAAGGACTGTGTGCTTTCCTGGAAAACGTTCCTCGACAAGATGCCTGATTACCTAAAACACTGTGGCCATGAGAAAGCGTTTGAGTATTTCGTGTATTCTGGAAAGGGGACCGACTCCGTGGTGGAGAAGATGTCTTGGGATGAGTTGATGTCTCAGGAGGTGTCTGGAGCGGGGGCGGAAAAGTTAGCAAAACGGTTAGCCATCCTAAATGAAAGGGCGACGGTCTGGGATGTTGTTTCGGATGGGCTCCCTGTGGAGCTCTGCGGAGATAGTCTTCTTATTATAAATTGGGTCCGTGGGAAGTGGAGGGTGGGAAATCACGTGTATCAGAAGAGAGTCGATAAGCTGGTGGATAAGATTGCGTGGCTGGAAAATCGATACCATCTCAGATCCAGTTTCCTTGGTCGTGACTTCCTCAAACATGAATTCAGAGAGAACAACCAGAGGGCGGATGCCCTCGCACATTGTGCGCGGGAAGGCCGCGAGTGTTACACTATGAGGCCTGTTCCACCCGATCTTTTAGAGTATCATGAGCTTGTTGCCCTCCGCGGTCGTTTCGACGGCGGAGTGGATGCGTCTGTTTGTGGTATTGGTTTCTTTCTCGAGGCCGCCTTTCTCCCCCATCCTGAACGCTGCTCCAAGCGCTTGCGGCATTCCGCTGCCCCCGACTCGCCTCAGCCTGCTGCCTCCTGTGACGGTCTCGTTTGGAGAGATGTTGCGGAGGCGGCCCTTCTCTTGCCTAGAGATAGTACAGTCACTGATGCCGAACTGACGGCGCTGGAGCGCCTCATTGGGGCGGCCGAGTGCGTGCTGAGAGCTCGCAGAGAGCTCGAGGCGCCCTGCTGGGCGTTTGGCTCGGGCAGGCTTCGACGGAGCCTTCACTGCCCGCAAAACCGCAAGAAACCAGGTTGACCGTTCACCGCCGGTGCCAGTTCCGGCGCGGGGCGGAGCTAGTTGGTCGACCCTACCAGAACGGACAATCTGACAACTTTGGGTGGTTTTGCAAATATTTGAAAGATGTTTGACAATTTATTTTGAGAAAGCAGATTTTTTGCACCTGTAAACGACTATGAGGGCCTCTGCGTCTTAATATGAGCTCTGTAGGCGCCATTTTACTATCAAAACACTTGGGGGAACCAACTTTGTGTCGACATGAAAAAAATGGATGTTCAATTTCTCGAGAAATGCCTTCCAGAAGCTCTGACTTTCGACTCTGAGCACCTCTGAGCACTCTCACGC